TCTCCAGATTGGGCTTTGTCAATCTATTGAATAAAGTTCCCGTATTCCCAGCCAATTTAAAAAGGGGAGATCCTAGAGGTCACTCCTCTCTGCTACTGATATATTCAATATGTGGCTAATAAAGAGTTTCTCTCTGTGAAAAGAGGTAAGGGGCAATTAGAAGGAACCATTCCTTTTATGGAGAAGCTTTTTGTACATGGACCGATCCCTTTCACATCAATTAAATGAATGAGCGTCTGAACCCCACGAATGAGAGAGGGGGGATCAGGGGCAAAAAACTAGTTCTACACAAAAACAATTCAAAATTACCAATTTATTGCTCAAGTCTATGCATAAGAATCTTCTCAAAATAATTATTTGCACCTGTGTAAAACTAAGGTTCAACGGCATTCAAGAAGGGTTGGGATTTAGTTCTCTTGTGACTGTCTAGAGATTCTAAGCTGATTCCCCTTTTGACTCCTTCCCCTGTCTCTGCCGATCTGTCTCCTCCAGGGAAAGACAAAAAATATACTGTAGTGGGAGATCCTACATAGACTACTCATGGATGGCAAAATTTAATCAACATGTACAGGTAGCTTGCAACTTACAACCATGCATTTAGTAACCATTCAAAGTTACAACAGCACTGAAAAAAGTGGCTTATGACTAGTTTTCACACTTACAATGGTTGTATCATCCCAATGGTCACATGATCAAAATTCAGGTGCTTGGCAACTGGCATGTATTTACAGCAGTTGCAGAGTCCCAGGGTCATGTGACCACCACTTGCAACCTTCCCAGCTGGCTTCTGACAAGCAAAGTCAATGAGGGAAGCCAGAGTCGCTTAACAGCTGCATGGTATGGTTTATTAAGAACAGCAGTGATTTGTTTAACAACTGTGGCAAAAAATTGTACCCCATAAACTGGGCTCCAATTCACTTAACAGTCTTGCTTAGCATCAGAAATGTTGTGGCTCAACTGTGAGCGTAAGTTGAGAACTACCAGAATGATGTCGGTGCTGGCCTAGAAAGTGAGAGACCTTGAGTTCTAGTCTCACCTTAGCCATGAAAGTTGGCTGGGTGACTTTGAGCCAGTCAGCCCAGCCCACCTCACAAGGCTATTTATGGTGAAAACAGAAAGATGAAGGAATATCATGTTTGTTTGCAGTCTTGAGTTATTTATAAAGTAATAAAGATGGGATAAAAATCTAATAAATAAATCTGTGTAGGCTCCTGGCAGAAACTGCTTTGCTTAAAACAGAAGCAACACTGCACATATACCAGTCCACAATACTTTGTAGATGTTATAAGCTAAGAAAAGATACAACAGCTGTCCTTAAACAACATGATTTCTTTTTGCAACCTAATCATAAATATGTCAAACCGTAATTTTTTTAAATTGCTGAGAACTACTAAATTTCTGTAGCATTAGAAAATATTTGTTTGGCTATGAAACTCACCTATAAGCCCATCCTTCCTGTGAACTGCATGACTTCATTAACAGCTCTGAATAGCAGTCATGAAATTGTGTGACTCCCCAGTTTTGTCCCTCAAGTTCAGATACAGACAATGACAAAACAACTATGTAGATAGGATGATATGAGCTGCCTGGGCTGATCAAGGGAATGAAAATCCTGAATCTGTATGTTAGTGAAAAATGTAACACAGCTAGTTCTCTAGCGTTTTGTGGACAATGAGCATTTTATTGTTTAGCTGCCTTGATGTGTGAAACAACTAAGATGGAGAATAAGGCAGCCTTCTCCAGCTAGGCACTTGATGTGCAGGTTGTATTACAATTCCCATAAAAACAAAATCTATTTTTTTCTTACATCCACATTGTGCTCCTCAATATTACAAATGACAAGAGACAAGTGAGTCTCAGATGTCCCTAACTTCATGACATATTTAGTGTGCTGTAATTTTCTTGTCATCGATCAGTTGCAACCGGTACTAAGCCTTAAAGGGTGATTTCTGAGATACAGATGTGCTTGCATCAAACTCAAATCCTGATGGATGCATGGAGACATCCCGTCCTTTATCTAACCAAAAATAACAAAGAGGTTTGCCATTGCCTTTGCTCAGGATTTTATTTTTAGACCTTCCCAGTCTCACCTGGGATTCCCTGGCCCAATCCAGCTTAACCTCTAAACTGAGGTAAGATTGGCCTGATAAACCCATATCTGAGAGCTGCCAGCATGCAGAAATGGTCATTATGTAAATAGTATTATTCCCCTTCCAGGAATAAAAGGCTGTGCTAAGAATAAGAAGTCATTATAAGCATTTTTTCCTAATGCATTCGGTTGCAGATGCTCCCGTTGGCAGCAAGCATTCCTGGAACAGCCGAGCAACACACACCTGGTATGTTTCTGATAGCAACAGGAATATCTAGCAGACTACTGATATCAACAAAAACTTGTTTATGTGAGGCACAGAAGCAGGTGTGTTGAATTAACATCGGCAAAGTAGTTAAGCAAGAAGACATTATTTCATTTATTTTCACCAAAAAATAATAATTAAAGCACGTTTATTTCTCATGTATTTTTAAAAGGTACTCTCTATGAACATACTTTCAAACAAATATTTTCCCAGGGAATCTTACAAAATCCTTAGAAACCGACATGTGGAGAACAAAAAAAAGGAAGGGGAGAAGAAGAGGAGGAAGAAAAAAAAGTGAGAAACATACCATGTACAAAAAGCAGTAAGTAATCTTTTGAAAAACATTCAAATTTATGTTGGGCGGCAACACATTATTCATTAAAAAGTACAATTGTAGCATAGATGAAAAGTTGGCATGAAAAACCAACCAGAGATAGAATGTCTTCTCCTCAGAGCAACAATCCACAATCCACCAATTCCAAGCCATCTCTCTAGGATAGTGTATCTCAATCTTGGCTGGCAACATTAAGCTGTATGGACTTCAACTCCCAGAATTCTGAGAGTTGACATCTACATACCATATAGTTGCCAAGGTTCAGACATGCTGCTCTAGAAAAGAATACCAGAAACAGGAGACCAACACTGAAAAGGCTCATTCCTGGATATCCATGGCTTATCCAGGCTTATCCAGGAAGCGATACCAACCACATGCTGCTAAAGATCAAGGCATGTACCAGGGTTTATGAAGCCTTAAGGCTCCAGACCTGCATTTGGCTTAGGGCTTGCACACCGTAATGAAACATCCAAATGTATAATGACAACAAATTATATTTATTTCCTTCAGATTTCATTCTACCCATCTTTTTCTTTACATGGTAACTTAAGCAGCTAAACAGCTCCGTATCTTTGTTCCAATGAAAATAATAGAAATAACTTCTAGTAGCTGGGGTTTTTTTTAACTGATTGTATAAATGTTTTTAGTCCCAATTAAATACTGGGGAGTTGTATGCTATTCAAAATTGGCAGATTGGAGAGATCTATATATAGTCCTTGACTTATGACTACTCGTGAATTTTAGAGCATATTTGTAACTCTATTGAAAAAAAATGGAAATTACTTTTCCCCTTCCTCCATGACTTTTTCTTTCAGTTCTTATGCCATGAATTATGCCATAATGTATTACTTTTTAATAAAATAAAAACATTAGTGTATAATGAAGAGTGCACAGAGTGCACAGACCAGCACAGCACCTAAATCCTCAAATGCCTTTAAAAACAGAGCAGACATGCACCAATGAATCATATCCACTTGTTGAAACTCCCTATAGTAAGAGACTTTTGTTCAAGATGTATTACTTCATTCAATAATGAATGCAAATTGCAATAAGGAACTTACTGCCCTGGTTTATCTATTCATGCAAACAAAACCTCAAACTTTCTGGACTAAAGTAAACAAGGAGCAATCAAGCTGCAATTAAGTCTCGCCAGCCTTCATGGCCAAACTAGTTTTCTAAATATTTGAATAATTAAAATAGCGATTCTAAAACTTAGGAGATCTGGAATGCTTCACTTTCTAAGGGGCATAGATATTGTATTTCCACTTTAAAAGCCATTCAGTTTTAGTCGTATGCCTCCAAGACACAGCTAAATAGAAAGTTGTTCCCTTTATGCCTCTGGGTGATCCCAGGGGCCACAATTTACCTTTTCAAGTTATGATGGCAGAAAAAAAACCAAAGAGTTTTGCAGCCCAGAAAGCCTGTTTAATGAAGGGGAAGTCCATACCTTCCAGGAAGGGCTCTCTTTATTGCTGTCTAGGTACCCCAATGGTTATTGTTAAATGAGGCGTGGAAGAGATCCCATTTGTCACATTTAGTCTGTACTTCATCCCTAAAGCAACAAAAAGTACATCTGCATGCACACATCCACACATAGTGATTTATTAAGAATCAAATAAATTCATTCTGAGAAAAGGAAACATTAATGTTTTTTGTAAAAAAAAACCCAACAATTTAAATGAGCTACTGGTATAATATCAGTCCCAATCTCTATTGAAAATAATGGGTAAATTGGGTCTACACGAATGTTATGTTAGACCAAAGTCCCACAACAACATTTAGTTGCTTCTAGTTTCTCAAAAGAGCATTTTCCATATATTTAGCTATTTCCCCAAGACTATTGGTCTATTTGGTGATTGCAATATAGTACATTATCTAGAAATCTACAGGTAGTCCTTGACTTAGAACAGCTCACTTAGTGACTGAAGTTACAACAGCACTGAAAAAGGGACTTATGACCATTTTTCACACTTATGACCATTGCAACCTCCCTATAGTCACATGATCAAAATTCAGACGCCTGACAACCGACTCACAATGATGACAGTCGCAGTGTCCCAGGGTCATGTGATCAGCTTTTGCAACCTCCTGACAAGCGAAGTCAATGGGGAAGCCAGATTTACTTAACCACCGTGTGACTAATTTAACAACTGCAGGGATTCACTTAACAAAGGTGGCAAGAAAAGTCGTAAAATGGATTAACAAATTTCTCACTTAGCAACATAAGTTTTGGGGCTCAGTTGTGGCGATAAGTTGGATAAGTTGAGGACTACCTGTATTTCCTCTACTTCTACATTTGTATCAGAACTTACGGTTCAGCTTCAATACTCTGGTCAGGTGCAATATAGTTCGCTGGGATATAGCCTTGCAGCTTTTGTCCAGGTCTGGCAAGACCATTCTCCACAAGCAGTTTGGCAAACCACCAGCCCTCCTGAGAGGTATCCAGCACTTCAAGCTTATCTCCAGGTTGAAAACTCAGATCATCTTCAGTCCGGGCTTGGTAAGGAAACAAAGCAACAAATCTGCAGGTCTGATCTACTGTTCTGAGTGGGAGTGATATCGGTGGTCCTACCGGAGAGCCATTTGTATCATCGCCTGACACCGTCTTACCTCCTGACCTGCAATCACAAACTTTGAAAAGCCAGAGCACGTAGGACTCCAGACTGGCACAATTCTTCTGGCAGCAGTTCCCCATACTGACTTGCCAGCTTCAATTTCTTCACCTTTTTTTTTCCTCCTGTCCCCTGTTATGCATTCACAAATCCTTGAAAGCTATTTTCTTCATTATCTGTCATTTCCAAACTCATCCTTCAAGCCCTTTGAACAAGATAAAAGCGAAGAGACTTTGCTGGGATTGGGGAAGATCCGCTTACTTCTTTCCTCTCAATTTCTAAAAACAAAAAAATCTTCACCAAGTTTCTTCCTCGTCTTGCAGCTACTCGCTCAGGATTGAAACCTGAGCAATGAAAAGCAAATCTTGGTGTCAGGGGAATTTTTCACTTCCTCTTCTGATAATTCAGAAAGACCTGAGCCATTCTCTTGGGAGCCAAAAAAAAAAAAAAAGGACAAAACAAGCAAATAGAAGCAGAACAGATTTTTTTTCAGCTCAATCTCCCTACCTTTCTTCCTCCTAATACTCTTTAGTCTCTCAAAAAATATAGCTACTGCAGAGAGACCAAAACCGTGTCACTCTTGGTAATGAATAACCAATCAGACTGACCTTTTGTGTTAATAAGCTGAAATGTGGACAAACTTCTTTTGTATGCACTTCCTGGTTTCTCCTCTTTCTGCCTCTCTTTTATTACACAGAGAGTGGCATATTATCCCTTCTGTTCTGCATACCACAAATAAAACAATCCGCAAAATCATTGTACCATATAAATAAATGTGTTGCTATTATCATATTTGGCATAAATTCTCTTTTATATAATTTTATTAAATGTTCTTTTAAAAACAAAATAAAAAACTGATGCAAACTAATATAGAGTAAGAAAAAGAAAAGAAAAATAAATAAAAAGGAAAGTTAAAGGTAGGAAAAAGTAAAAGATAAATAGAAAATGATACAGAGAAGCAGCTCTCAATTTTCTTTACAACAGGTGTAAGTACAATTATAAGATTACGTCTTACTCTCTTCTTTCTATTCTAATTATCAAAACCATAAATCATATAGTATGTTCATTTTTTTGTTTCACACAATAAGCATATAAAGGGCTTCCAGTCAGCAATAAATATGATTTATTGTTTGGTTTTTTTCTGATCAAAGAAGTCAGTTTAATCATCTCAGCAAGATCCAGCTCTCATTTTAAGTAACCATTCCTCCATTGTGGGCAATCCCCAATTTTTCTATCCAGGTGCTACAATAATCTCATGGCAGTTATGTACAAAAACAAAGTTCCATGACATTCTTCCAATTGTTTATCAATCAATCACAAAAGAAAAACTTCTAGTTTCAATTCTGTATTAATCTTTAAAAACCTCTGAATCAGTATAAGTCATACTATTCAAGACATGCATTTTTTAATCACAAAAATTCTCCCCAGCAATGAAAATTGTACTTCCTCTCATATTAACATGTTTTTAACTTCACTCCATGTCTTAATGTAATTATTTTGAAATAGCAATTTATATTTGTCCTAAGGATATAATATTTTACCTTCTTCTTAACCTTAAAACTAATTTGTTTATCAATTCTGTTTGAGCTTCTATTTTCATATTTTTGTTAGTAACTTCATCTTCTCTTTATTAATCTTGAAGCCTGCTAAAGCTATTCCTTTAATGTGTCAATTCATATTTCAATTATCTTTAAGGAATCTTCTAGAACCAACACAAAATCATCTGCAAAAGCCCCTAACTTATAAGTTTCTTTTTTAATCTTTACTCCTTCAATTTTCTCATCTGTCCTATATCTGTATTCAATATAAACAAGAAAAGGACTGTCAGTATTCCTGTCTTGTCCCTTTTTGTACTTCACAAGCTTTGTTAGATCTCCATTAAGAATAATTTGTGCTTTCTGCAAGGCAGGGGTGTCAAACTGCCGGCCCGCAGGCCAGATGCATCATGGCGAAACCGCACCCACCCCACTGCCAGAAATGGGGGAAAAGTCAAGATATGTTGCGACACGTCACTTGACGTTGCGAGTTTGACACCCCTGCTGTAAAGTATAGATCGATCTCATCCATTTTATAAAGTTCTGTCCAAAATTCATATCTTCTAGAACAGTGGTGGCGAACCTATGGCACGCATGCCAGAGGCGGCACGCAGAGCCCTCTCTGTGGGCACGCGCCATCACCCCAGCACGCGTGATCTCTAAAAGTTCGCCATCACTGGCCTAAGGCCAGCCAGCCTGGAGCCGCCATTGGGGAGCCCACATCCCACCCACCAGATACCCCCTGGATCGCCCCCAACCCTGCCCGGCTCCCACAGGTGTCCCTCCCCATAAGCAACATCAAGGTGGCCACGCCCACCCCAGCCACACCCACCCAGTCTGCCATGACTACTGCAGCCACACCCATCCAGTGGCCATGCCCACCCAGTCTGCCAAGCCCACTGTAGCTGCACCCGCCGAGTGGGCCACACCCACCCGGCACCCGGCGATACATAAGTAGGTTTTGGGTTGCAGTTTGGGCACTCGGTCTCTAAAAGGTTTGCCATCACTGTTCTAGAACCTTAAACAAGAAATTTCAGTTAAAATTGTCAAGGGCCTTTTCTGCATCTAAGAAGATAAACACAGTTTGTTTTTTATTATGTACCAGAATTGCTTTCATGATAATCTTAGTAATATTTCTTTCGGAATGATACTTGGAGGCTACATTCAGCTCCTCATGACATAACTTTTCCAAAGTCACAGAGCCACTGTGCAGCTCATGGAAATCTCTTGCATTCTTTTTGCAAGGTTTCATTTAGGGTGGACTTCTTAAACTTTCTGCCACCAGATACGTAGCTCCAGGATGCACCAAATTCACATATAATTTCTTCCATACATTTTTATTCTAAATAATGACATAGTTGGCAATGATCAAAGAAAATCAGAAAACAAGTTAATTGAAAACAGAATGCAAGACAACATTAGTATTCAAGCAGTAGAAAAAGGAGAAGAGACAAGATAATTTCTGCAAATTGTTGTGCACGCCCACATCTATATCTCTTATATAGATCTACACCAAGTTGGACACATGACGTAATACATCTTAAGATCATAATATGGTTCAAATATCACAATTGCTGACTATTCTTTTGCAAAAAAAACCCCATTGTCCTGTTAAAATACATTTTAGCATCTAACCTGCTTGTAACTCAATGTTCCTCTACAGAATGATGGGCCTTTGGACTGAAATGTATAGCATTTTTAATAAAGAATCATGTCCATATCAGAATGTCCCATATTTTGTAGTTGATACTTAACAAAACTGGGATTTGTTCAGTTTTCTATGTATATGAACTATAGTCCACCAAGCAATTAATACTACATATGTGGTTGAAAGGTGAAACATGTACAGTTTGTTAAATGAACATGTGTGAGTTCCAAAATCTCCTCTACTGAGTGCTATTATAGCATGCTTACGCATGGTGGCTTTAAGACAGTTTGAAATCCCCTCTAGACCTCCCTATTCCCCTGACATTGACAGAGATTGGAAGCTGAATTGTTTTATTATTAATTCCAGAGTTGAGAACATAAACTCATTGCAAAACTAATCTTTTTTCTTGAAGTACTTCCATTCTGCAGAACCTCAGAACAGTCTCTTCCTTCTTTGGTGGGAACTTTGATCTCTAATCTTTCCGATTCATTCTGTTTAATCTTTCAGAATCACATCAACTTTAATGAACTGATTCTTTAAACAGTAGTTGATGTTTTAAAACATGAGTTAGCAGGAAAGTGAGTGCTATGTTCATGCAAGGTCCAAAGCATTTCTTTCAAATTATTTTCGAATTATACACAACCATTCTACATATGTTTTATTTATGAAAAAAGCAAGCATAGTCGATGGCAAAAAAAAAAGTCCTGTGCAGTCAAATCAACTGTGACTGCATAATATCTTTAGAAAGAAACAGATTGAACTCTGAAAATTTTTTGTATTCTCATCAATAAAAAACAGAAATCTTATTTTCAAAGTCTGGAGAAGGAGAATTGCAGTCTTTAGGGAACATTATTCTTCTTTAGTTAATTCACTAAGCAGACCACTCATTAGTTTACTGGTGTACACAATCCTTTCAAAGTAATTAGAGCATCCAAATTCATAGCGTTGTAAATACTCTTCCATTATAAGGCATAAAAAAAAATCTGAGCCGTTTTTTTTCACTCCGAAGACTTATCCCCCAAATCCTTATTAACATAATGAATAGATGTGATAAGTCTTGTTTTCTGCTGCTTAAATTGTGAATATGTTTTGAGGTCAGTGGCAAGGCTCAGTAACAATACACATGAACGCACTGATGAAATTCCAGCTTATAATTGTTATTCAGAATCTTCAAACTCCAACACTAGAGACAGTTTTTTCTCATCTAGAATCAAATATATTTTATACCTATTCTTTTATTCTAATGACTTGATTGCCTAAGATGCTTACATTACAACAGCATGTTTTCAGTGCTCTGAGAGGTTCATTTAAAAGCGAATATAAATTAATGAAATCATAGCAATAGCCTGGCTGTACAAGATGATGAGGTCTAGAATTGTTAACATGGTGTAAAACTTCAAAGCTATAGTCATACAGTACTAGCTGCCACATAAATGTGTTGCCTTAGTGCAGTGATGGCGAACCTTTTAGAGACCGAGTGCCCAAAAACTGGCCCCATCCCCACTCCGCCCTCCCTGCCCGCCCCCACTCTATCCCCCATCCCCCACCCCACCTGCCCACAGGACCACTCACTGCCTCCAGGGCCCGCCACAGATCTCCCAGGCAGCCCAACAGTGCCATGGCGGCCACGCCCTCTGCCCGCACCCTGCAGCATCAACTGCATGATGGGGTGTGAGGGCAGAGTCTTGTCTACGCTGCCTGACTGCCATGTCCTTGGCTGCACTGCTCCATGTGGGCCACCCTTGGGAGCGACTCTCCTTCAGGGGGGCTGCTGGAGAGGAGGGGGTCGTGGGGGGAGGCAAGGCTGGGGCAAGGCTCTGTGTGCCCACAGAGAGGGCTCCGAGTGCCGCTCTGGCACCCGTGCCATAGGTTCGCCACCACTGCCTTAGTGGCTTGGCTACCCATTTGGTGGTATTACCAGAGTAGAGGGCATTCCCACTAAGGTTCCTGCTGGTTACCCTATTTTAGTTTTTATCTCAGTCATTCTCTAATTAGCTGCACTTTTTGTTTTCCTCTTTCACTTGGAAGGAAGGAAGGGAGGAAGGAAGGAAGGAGAGAAAGAGAGAGGAAAGGAAAGGAAAGGAAAGGAAAGCTCTTAGCATCTCTGTATCCCCAGATGGCCTTAAAGAGAGGGAATATGAGGCCAGAAATTCTTTTGTAAATTGGAGTATTATAGATCTAACAAGTAGTTCCACCCTTTTTTGTGGGTGGGGGGCACCAATACTTTCAAGGATGTTGAACTATGCCAAGAATACATATT